TACCTGGAACAATCATCTTGAACTGATGATGCCCAACAGAACTATCCGTGGTAAGAGGGCAGGCTTTCCTTTCTTCATTTAAAAAAGAAATAATGATGTTATCACCTTTCCACAAGCTCAGTGGAAAGTGAGAGTGAATGAGATTGATAGTGTCTTTGTTACTTAAATAAATATCCAGAGCCGGGATAAAAAGTCAGACACAGTCTGCAAAACTCTCTTACTTTGATTTTTTTAACCAATTAAGCTAAAGCTTTACATTCTTGTTTTTTGATTATGTGGATGCCAATTACTGGTAATTTAACTTTTATGCATCAAAATGCAAAAAAATGTTCTCTTCATCTATGTGCCCTGAACATTACAGGGGAGGACGCAGGTTAAATTAATAACATGAATTAAAATAAGAGGGCCCCCATTAATTTCAGTCCTAATTAAAGGAGGATCCTTGTTTTTCCAGATTCAACCATTACAACTGAATTCGTAGGATAAACAAAGGAAGTCAGGTTTTTGACTTGCCTGCTTCAACTTTTGAGGGCTTATGGTACAGAGAAGTAAGACATAGTAAACAGCTACAATTAATACAGAGTTGAAAGTTTGAAAGCTAAAAGATATACATGAAAATCATCAGACCCTATGCATCCTAGCAAAAGAAGGGTCATTTACCACCATACCTTCTCCAAAATTTTCATGCTTACAGGAAATTATTTATTTTTGTCTCTATGTGGTACTGTATTCACAATAGTTCTGCCAACACAAATGCATTTTTCTAAAGTTATCTCGTAGTACATGACTGTACAGGTCAAGTGGAAGGTTCCTGTATGGGGACTAACATTTCAATTACCTCAGGAAACTGTAATCCTCAGAATTGCAAGCCATGGTGTATTTACCAAGTGCTAAAGTTTCCAAATTAGTTACCTACTTCTTACAGTGGAGTTCAATCCCTTTTTAGGCTATCTTCAGCTTGATCATCCTGTTACATGTGAAATCATCAAATGTTACTCACATATTCAAATAATTACCTAAATCAAAAGTTATAATTTTTTTTTAATAACCTGCTACCTTTAATTGTGATCCAGGAATAGTAAATGGTATTGAAGAGAAAGGAAAAGTGTTCTTGAAACATTCCATGCTAAATGAAATTTCGCCATGAATGTCAATTGTGATTGCAACAAAAACATCTGTGAAGCTATAACAATTACCTTTCCAGGTAAACAAACCATAATGAAGCATGATATGAATAAATTTAGTCTCACCCAGTCTGAATGTAGAATCCAAAATCTAATTAACTTATTAGTGAATAGGAAAAGCTCACAGTCAATGTGTTTTCCTGCCTCTGTCATTTTAAATATCACAAATCAATAATGCTACCACTTCAATGTGATTTTTTTAATGACGTGTGCTCTTTCTTGTGAACGACTATTTTAAGTATCTATCTTTTACCAGAGGACATCTGAGAAGAATGAAGTGTACACTGGAAATTTGACACATTGCAGGCAAAACCTACAACTGATTAAATTTTATTTGATCAAAAACATTAATAGCAATGGAGGAAATTAGCTAGCACAATTCAAGTTTCCCCTCTTTAAGTATTCTGTGATAGTTTTCTATAACATGGTAAAGTTTACAGTTTCCCTCATTTCACTGTCTTCTGTTCACTTGTTTGTTTGCTTTCCTAACAATCTTAGCTATTGTTGCCAACAAATGCGAGCATGTACATGAAAATGTGTACAGCTAATAACACTTTAATTCCTGAGAATGACTAGCATCTAATTTCTCCATTCAATATCACCCCTGAGTCAGGCATTAAGGTCATGAGAATAAAGGAAGTGATAATCAACTGAAGAACCTCTTGATTGTTAAACAAATTCTCCTCACCAGCACATAAGGAAATATATAGAGAACAGTTTAGAGAATATGCATTCTGATATTGGAGTGTAAAGGGTTAAAGACATCATGTAATCAGTTATATATATGTATATGTTTTCTGGGTCTTAGCGTAAGAGAAAACCCAGATAGGACACGACTTATCTCCTCTTCTCTCGCGGATCCTTTGGAGTTCGCTTCTCTTTGTTGATGACCTCTTTTCTGTCTGTTTTCAGAAGCGTTGCTCTTCGCTAGAAACTCGCCTTTTTATTTCTGCCCTTTATTGTTCTCTTTCTTGTTCCTCTCGCCGTATTCTGCCTATTTTGGCGTCCTTTGTAACTTTCTTGCGCGATTTTCTGGACTCGCTTTACGCCGTTTACTTGTTGCTTTCTTTGGTCGTTCAGTCTCTTTATATCCAGCCTATTTTCAATTAAAACCACGAACTTGAATTATAACAGTATTGAATTATAACGGTATTGTTCTCTTACGAGTTGTTTAGAAATTGCAAAATACTGAGAATTACTGTTCAACTACATCCTGACCAGTTTGATTTCCCGCTCAAAACGCGGGTGGCAAATTTCATCTGCTAGCTCACGTGAAGTCCTCGTGCAATGCCTAACTGTGTGCCCGCAGTACGCTACACTGCAGCTCGACGTTCGAGTATGCGCACTTTATCGTCATCTGACGGTGTCTCTTGGCGCACACTAATGGGGTATCAAACTAACGCACGCAATCGCGCCTGCGCATTACCTTCTCCCTCGCCCTTCCATTACGTAATGACTAAGATAGTGCCCGTGGTACAGTTGGGCGTGCATGCTAAAAGTAGCACCTTGCACGGTCGTACGGTCGTACAACCAAATTATTTCGGCTTGATGGGTTATTACTATTTTGTATGGTTATGCGGCTACGCTCCGCGAGCTCTGCTATAAATATTATGTAATCGCTAACGTATTTATCCAATAGGAATAAATACTACAACAACGAAACAATTTAAAAAAATAACAGGTGATGAAATGAGTGCTGTTAATGTGCCGCGTCACCCACAACGAAGCAACACTGACAGCTCATGGCGAGACAACGTCCCGCGCAATAAAAGCTTCAACTCAGGACAGCGCGACTCAGATCCTCCTTCAAATTAAATGCAAGTTCTACCTAAAGACTAACACAAGAAAGAAAGAGCTATGTGCAGCCTGGCAGAAACACTATCAAGACTGTGGGGCTCTAAGCCACATCCCGGGATAGTACCTGTCAGCGCGATCGACGCGGAGCAGTGCCAGTGCAAGATCTTTGCTAAAATGCACCTGAGATGAACAGAAGTTATAGTTTAACTCGATGGTAGCGCTACTGTTAATATTTTACCAGTAGGTGAGTATAAGCAAGCAATGAATGATCCAGTGCTCAATTAAGTTATAGAAACAAAAAAAACCCTGTAGATGTTTAACAAAACCCAACTCAAACCACTAAGAGTAGTGAAGATCGAGAGTGTCAACCCCAAAAGTGATGATTCTCTCATGTTACATGCACAATTCGTAGTCGTAAGCAAAGGCCACATGGCCATACCAGATAAAGTCATCCCAGCCAACGGCGAAACATTTGCATCAAGAGAGTTTGAGGAGTTTGCTCGCGCATACTCCTTCGAACACGTCATAAGTTCTCCAACCTACCCTCAATCCAACGGCAAGGCTGAAAAGGCTCAAATCGTTTTTGTGGACGTCGAAGCAACCTTTCGCTAGATATTTCCCTCGAACAACTTACACTGTTTGTCCCATCGCGATCCCAGAAATCTTCACTCAAACACAAGGATCCAATTACTGGCAACTTATTCATTCCCGACTTTTACTTGAACAAGAACTTCACACTGTTGATTTCTTCTTACAAGATGTTTGAAAGCATAAAAATGGAAAATCATCTTGCACTAATTCATTCCCTTTGCTTGCGTGACAGCCGAATTATGCAAATTAGTCTGTCGGGGCAAACTTCAACCTTCAGTAAATTAGTAATGGTAATAGGACCGAGTGGAGTTCAATTCGCTCTGTAATCATACGAGTGGTCAAAAAAATTGGACGACAATATATCCTGTTACCAATTAATCATGATCATTTCAATTTCCGAAAAAACAAATACACCTAGAACAAATATCTCCGGTGGAGACAACGTCTTTAGTTAAATATTCCTCCATTTTGAAATTGCCTTATTTTTCTTTGGAGAAGTGGTTGTTGCTATGGTTATTGTGATCAAATCTGTGATTGGTGGATTTAGCTGAGTGGACCTAGCATGATTGGCTGCTTCAGCTGTCCGATTACAGGTGTCTGATTACAACCAACTGAACAGAATGATTAGTGAAAAAAGAAGCAGCTGATGCGCCAATCACATTTAAGAAAATTATAATGGCTATGATTAGTAGCGTAAAGGAGCACATTAAGTGCCATTATACTTTTAATAATAAATTATTATTACGCCTTCAATTACAAATCTCCCCTTGAGTTTTTCTGTGCTCTGTCTTTTTTTTCTCCGACTTTTTCCCGATTTTTTTTCCCGTCTTTTTTTTTTACTTTATTCCAGACCTTTTTCCCGAATTTTTTCCGACTTTTTCTGACTTTTTTCCCGACTTTATCCTCGTATTTTTTCTTGTCTTTTTTCCCGACTTTTCTCCCGACCTTTTCCCGACTCTTTTCCAGACTCTTTTCCCCACTTTTTACGGGATTTTTTCCCTCGACTTAAACGACGAGACCTAACTGACCATAGAATGCCTAATTAACGACCTAAAATTACAAACTACGATCCCATAACTCTCCGCAAACCTCGCACTTGCCTCCAGTCTTTTGACACGTGTCGACAAAATATTTATTTATGCTCATTACGATTATCACAAATTGCATTATTCACCACCCGGTCCAACCCAGGATCCTCCCGCTGAGGTAGAAGGAGAAACCGTTTCTTGTTGCTACGTATGTTTATCGGAGATTAATATTTACCAATGACTGCGATTTCTTAAATGATGACAGGGTTGACAAATTTATTACGTTTTTAGTTTCTTTGTTCGTGGGTTTCCATGGTAAAGTGTCCGGAGAGAATTTGGAAATCAGCCAGCCGATTATTGTCCCACATCGAACGGACGCAGTTGAAATTGTGAAAGGACAATGGCCCCAAAGGAACTTCAATGCTTTCTTTTCGTCTGTTTCTTTGCCTTGGGAAGTGCTACCTACTGTACCTACGACAGTGATTGTTCCTACAGTGAGTCCTGTTGTGATTATGTCTGCAGAGACCGTTGTTTCTGTTCGTACGACGACCAATGTGGATGGGGCGAGAAATGCTGTAATAGCAAATGCAGTAGTTCGTCTTCTTGCCGTTCCTGCACGTACGACTACGAATGTGGATCGAGCAAGAAATGCTGTAAAAGTATAAGTTAGGGAATAGGCTCTCTAATCTTAAATAAGCTTACACTCATCTCAGCCATGACTGCCCGCTGTATATTTGCAAATTTGAACTGCTATTTCGCCTTCGTCGTTCAAAGAAAAACAAAAAGTAGACACAGATTTCTTTTGAAAATAGATGAGTCCGGCCAAATGAATGCTTCCATCGACAGTTTTCAATGAATTTCCGCTTATGAAATTTTCAAGATGGTGGTCAAATTGATAACCTTATTAATATATTTACACAGGTTAAATATTTGTACTATGAGTTTGGTTGGTTATACTATATTTCAGCTGCTACCTCATTTACAGACATGAATAAACTTATTCCGCTTCAGAGAGATTTGTTATTTTTTTATATCCTACTTTTAGCTGATCGGATCTTTAGCAGATCCTTCAACAGCATATGCTATGTCGATGTCGAGCAGTATTTACATTCCTGTGTTGTCACAATTTTTTTTGGAAAATAAATTCTTGTTAATTCGCCGCCGCGTGTAAGATTCAGTTTAATATGCAAGTTATGACTGGATATCCTATATTGTGAAGGTAACAGAAATGTAACTCGAGATAGCTGTATTAGGGATGTGTTCACTTTTGATTTCAATAGAGTTGAATCAACACACGTTCATTATTTCCCCTAATTCTATCTGTCTTCCATAAGACTAAGCCCTGAAGAACATTACATGGCGTATATAGTGAAAACTCATTTATACGAGCCTCTATTTACCATGTTTTTTTCTTTTTTGTCGTGGTTAAGTGCAGACTTATACTTGTCCACGCTTTCGGACACCATGCGTTAATTTATAAATAAACACCGGGCATCTGAAAGCGTGACAACTATCAGACATCCGCAAAGTTAAGGATCACTTCGCAAAGCATGGAACCCAAATCAAGTCATCCCAGATAACGGCGAAAGGCTTGCATCAAGAGAGCTTGAAGAGTTTGCTCGCGCACACTCCTTCGAACTTGCTATAAGTTCTCCAACCTACCCCTAATCCAACGACAAGGCTGAGAACGCCGTTAAAATAGCAAAGAAGCTGATGCGAAAGGCCATGGAGACAAAGAGTGATCCAGGCACCACCCACTTACTGGCCATCCTATCCAACTCCGTATCCTCCATCCGAGGTACAAGGACAAGTCGTTTCGATGTCGTCCCGCTCACCGGCCGAGTACTAAGATGTGTGAAGCAAATCAACATAGAAACAAACGGAAACTCATTTATCTGACATATTTAAGTATGACATAGACTCTTACATGTATAATATGGAGCAATTTTGCATTGAACTGTTCCCACGTTGGATTGAATTTAGAGAAAAGTTACGATTACCACCCCAGGATTATTATCCAATCGTCGATTTCATGACAATGAGCTGCGTTACTCGAGTTGCGTGACATCCAATCTTCGCAGAAGTTTAAAGCAAAGTAGTCTTCCCGGATGATGAAACCGTTGTAGAAACTACTTACTTAATCGGACCTGTTGGGCATTCACTAATTGTTAAAAGAACCTCGGATTGTTCAATCCTCACCAGATCCAGAACTTAGACCAATAACAACTAGATCTTCGTTTTTCCCCGCGCTCAATAGTTTCCCTGTAACTGAAGCTCTTCTCGTAAAACCTGGCAACTCGAAATCTGAATGAAAGGGAATCCTTTTCGAACATACCATGCCCGTATGGACCTTCTTGTCAATTGGAGAGAATATCGACCCCGCCACTCTCCACTATACGCAAGGTTAAATCCGAGAGCCCTAAAATTAAACTCAATATCATGTGCGATTTTTGTGATATCCTTCACCTACTTATGTGGGTATTTCTCGCTCTTGACGCCCTTGTGGGAACGTTACTTGTACTTGTAAATAAGGTGTGTAGTAAGTTTCTTTAAGCGATCTTGTTCAAACTCCCTCACAAAGTCTGTGTAATCAGACGAAACCGTTGGGAGAAAACAAATCAAGTTGACAAGATCTATAGCTGTTTGCTGCTCACAAGTACTCATTAAATAGAAAATGAAAAAAGGTATCTTTATCGTAGATCAATATTTACGAATGACTGTTTTTTTTCTTGAATGACGACGGGGTTGACAGATTTGTGACGTCTTTACGTTCTTTGTTCAATATCTGGGCTTTTGTTTGAGTTTTAGCTTTGGCCTGACTTGAAAGGTACTGAACCATTATGATTATGCATGGTAACAGCATCTCTCCTCTTGCCATCCAACTTCCCCTATCGATTCCCTTTCTCTTCCCCAGCACCCTTCCCACCATCTATTGGGGTTTCCATGGTAGAGTGTCTAAAGAGAATATGGAAATCAGCCAACCGCATCTTATTTATTTATTTATTATCTCACAACGAACGGACGCCACTGAAATTGTGAAAGGACAATGGCTGCTAAGGAGCTTTTATGCTTTCTTTTCGTCTGCTTCTTTGCCTTGGCAAGTGCTACCTACTGTACTTACGACAGTGATTGTTCCTTCAGTGAGTCCTGTTGTACAGATAAAGTCTGTAGAGAGAGATGTTACTACTGTTCGCACGACTACCAGTGTGGGACGAACGAGCAATGCTGTAATAGGAAATGTATCAGCAGTTTCTCTTCATGTTCGTGTACGTACGACTACCAGTGTGGCCTTGATGAGGATTGTTGTGGGGGAGTTTGTTCCTCATACTGTGGTTGGAGCGGCGGGTCTATTGCAGGCGCTGTAATCGGCACGATTATTTTTTTTGCAATCATCATTTCCATCGTATCCTGCTGCTGCTGCGCTTGTTGCCCTTACTACCGCTATCGTACACCCGGTGCTGTGGTCGTCACCGGCCAACAGCCATAGCAACAAATCTTCTCAACCCAAATGATGACGACGCAACAAGTACATGCTCCTCCGCCGGTGAACTACAACCTGCCTTCTCCAGATGGATACGATCATCCTCCTCCAGCAGGTTACAACCTACCTACTCCAGCTGGTTACGATCAGCCTCCTCCAGGTTTCAATCAGGCTCCTCAGTCCTACGCAAGCTATCCTCCACCACCAAACCAATATCCTCCACCGTTACGACAAGCTCAAGCGGCGCCGATTCCAGCTGCAGTAAACGCCAAATAACCGAACCAGATATAGTTAAAATAATTTGCAAGGTAACTTCTGCAAGCGGATCAAGGTTCCGGTGAAATAAAATAACCTTTGGTTTTTATTTTCCATTTACATAGATGTAAACGTAGTCAAATTACTAAATGTTATGTAAGATTTTCCAAGGATAGTTCTAGAAGTATAATTTAAGGAATAGGCTCTCTAATCTTAAGTGAAATTACACTAATCTTAGGTATAATCTGCACGCTGTATGTTTGCAAATTCGAAAATCTATTTCGCCTTTGTCGTCGTTCAAAGAAAAACAAAAAGTAGACATAGATTTCTTGTGGAAAGGATTTTTGTTGGAGATAGATAAGTCCGATCATTTGCTTTAATTTTCCAGAATGAATATTGTATTTTAAGAAATGCAGTTTCACTTTAAGTGTCGTATGAAACCGATGTGGCTGTTATTAGCCGAGTCTATGGTTCCATCGACAGTTTTCAATGTATTTCCGCTCATGAAATTTGTAAGATTACGAATTTCGATCGCTATAGCAGTCAAACTGATGATCTCAGTAATAGGATTACACAGGTTTAAAATTTGTCTTATGAGCTCGGTTGGTTTTACTATATTTCAGCTGCTTCCTTATCTATAGAAGTGAGTAATCTTATTCCGCCTCAGGGAGATTGGTTGCTTTTTTCATATTTTACTTTTAGCTAATGGAATCTTTAGCAGATCCCTCGACAGCATATGCTATATCGATGTTGAGAAGTATTTATGTTTGTATGTTGTGACATTTTGTTTTGAATAATAAATTCTTGTTAATCAGCTGCCGTGTGTAAGGTTCAGTCTGATATGAGAGTGGTCTAGGGTATTTCGCATCGGAACCAAGGTTTCCCTCAAACTTTTATGCTATCTTTGTTAGTGAGTAAATAAAAGCGCCTTTGTGTCTGGAAATACGTCAAAATGAAATATTTTAGAGCTCTCAATAACGAGAGATGCAAAATCCCTTTTTAACCGATTGCGACATCGAAAATTTCAAAAGTTGAGAAGCTCGCTCCTCGTAACACATTGCATACAACAAGAAATCGTCTGTATTCCTAAATTATGTGATATTTAAGGGGTTTTAAAAGCATGTGTGTATTCAGTGGGTCGCTATAATTTATTCAAAAACACCCTGATATTGGTCAAAAGTGCTCTTTCTCTTTTCTTCTTTTTTTTTTTACAAAAAACAATTATATTACTTTAATTACAGCTATATTACTTACATCACGGCTACAGAAAATAACTTACAGTACAGTTACATCTATAGCTACATTACTTACGTTTTTTGTTTTTTACAAATACGTACGTTACAGTGCAATACAATATTTAAAATAATACAGGTTGAAGAGCGACTAAACAAAATAACTATATATTTTAAAAGAAAGAAAAGAAAAAACAAAAATGTTTACAGTGTATAGAGTGCACTACTTAAAATTGATAGAAAAAAGGTAGTTTAAAAGAAAACAAAAAAGTGCAGGAAAAAAGGATACAAACATCAAATTATATGTAAACAGAATTAAAGAAAACAATAAGTAAATGCGTGTTGTGCTTGTTTTGAGCATGGTCTTTCTTTATAATAATGATTTATGCATTATAATGTGAGAAGAAGAGGGGGAAGTTTTTTATTTCCGGAGAGATGTTGCGCATTCTGCATATCCATACAAAATATCTAGCGACCAAAAAAAGGCTCTTTCTCTTTTCAGGTAATATTTCTTATGTCCGGACCAGGCCGATGAAAACTCCTGTTGATTTCTTCTAATAAGATGTTGGAAAGCATAAAATAGAAAAAAATATTCCATCTATTTATTCCCTTCGACGTGATGACTGCAAACTTTTGTTGATTTTGCCAGCGTGAGAGCCGAACTATGCAAATTAGTCCGTTGGCCATAAGTAATTTTATTCCGCTTCAGGGAAATTCGTCACCTTATTTAATATTCCACTTTAAGCTGATTGCATCTTTAGCAGATCCTTCGATGGTATAAAAACAATGGCACGATTGTTAGCGAGAAAAAGCACCAGGCTCTGATCCTGCGAAAAACTGAGCACAATTTTTGTTTCCCAATACATAATTCGATAGATATGTTTGGAATGACAATAGATAATAGGCTTTCTTTTGATAATCACGTATCAGTCATCTGTAAGAAAACAAATAATCAATTTAACGTAATGCTTAGATTTCGGAGATAAGGAGACGCTATTGAAGCTCCATAAAGCCTTCATGCCGCATTTTTACTACTGTTCTTCTGTTTGGCATTTCTGTGGTGCACGCAATGCCGACAAAATAGATAATCTAAATAAGCGCATTCTTAGGTTTATACTACAGGACTACAGCTCTCCATACGACATTTTACTAAGAAAAGTTAACTTAAAATCTCTATTCATTACACACCTCCAGAACTTCATGATCACGTTATATAAGAGTCTGTTCTTTACGGATTATCCAGGTTATTTAAAAGATATGTTCACCGCACGGTCTTCATCCTACAGTTTGCGCGGAAATCATATCATGTCCCTTCCCAACCCAAAAACAACGACATACGGTCTGCACTCTTTTTCATACTTAGCGAGCAAAATATGGAACTCTCTCCCAGACACTTACAGAACATTATATTTTCTAGAATTCAAGCAGGGGATCCTCAGATATGAAGCTTTTCCACAGTAGATCTACAAGTTATATTGCATGCATAATGTTGTATATAGTTTAAAAATAATATTGTATATAGTTTATAAATAATATTGTATATAGCTTTTAAATAATATTGAATCGTAAGATAGCATATTTTTATTTCATTTTAGCTTATTTTCTCGAATATATTAGCCCTACAGCTACATTGAATTTCGAGTTTAAATAAAGTATATGTATGTATGAATGTCTATGCTATAACGATGTCGAGCGGTATGTACGTTTGCTTGATGTAGCCATTTTTTTTTAAGAATAAATTTTTGTTTATCCGCCGCTGCGTTCAAGGTTCCGTTTGATATGCCGGTAACCGGTTCGCAAGTAAAATTAACGTCGATATTTAGAATTTTTGCTTTGTTCTTGTAAAAGTGGCGAAAGTTTCATCTTGGCTGCTTAAAACTCAAGCAGTCAACACAGCGAACAAGAACTTGATAAAGTTCTGTCAACAAAACGAGTGGAAATTAATTCGACATCAAAACATCACGTACAATGGACTCGACAAGGGTGGACTTCGCCCTAATTTTAGTTTTTTTGTTAAGAATTTTTAAACACATTTAGCTAGATTGAAATGATGTTGTGCCTAATGAGAGTGATAAATACAGAATTAGAGGTTCTTGGCTACCAAACTACGGGGGTGCAGACTCCACCCAAACTTTACCTCCTCAGCGCCACTAAGCAAACTACCTTGCAAAATTTCAGTTACTTCAATCAAAGGTAGATTGTGACATAAAGGCTTGCCACCACATTATAACAAATACAAATCACATCACTGTATTTTTATCAACTTCAAATATATGACTTTCATATATTCTTAACCGTCTATTCATCGCTTTACGGGTTTATTTAGAACCACCATCATGACCAGCTCCCAGTTGCCTTATTAGCTCAGTTGGTAGAGCGCTGCACCGGTATCACAGAGGTCATGGGTTCAAATCCCGTAAAGGCCTGAATTTTTTTTTTCAGGCCTTATTTTCACTACTGCCTAAGTAGTGCACATCACTGCGAGGATCACTTTCATTAACGCCTTCATGCTACAGATTTCAAAGTGATAGCATAATGAAGCAAGAATGTCTCAACCCATAACCCTTTGCACTCCCCCGTTGGGTGGCTGGCTTTTGAATTTCACGCACTTTGCCGGTAGATTTGGCTAAAAACGTTAGATCTCAGATAAGCTCTCCCGTCTGAGCTTCTATTTTCCTAGTGACATAATTCTAATTCGAAAGCGTTTTTTCCTAACTACAGTTTACTTCTATAATAGTGCGGAGTAATATATAGTTGGCAGCGCCCGTCGGCATTATAAAGTGAATCACGAATCACCGCCGCCTGGTAAGCTCATGTGGATGAGCGCCGGACTACTGTGCGGGAGGTTGGGGTTCAAGACCCAGACCGGACCCACCCTCAGGGTCTTAAAATAACTGAGGAGAATGTGCTGCCTTTGCTATGATATCTGCAAGCGGTTAAACATTCTTGTGTTCTCGGATAAGAACGAAAAGCCGTAGGCCCCGTCTCCTGTATCTTCTCGGTACTAGTTAGTAGGGGACGTTAAAGAACCCACACACTTATCGCAAAGAGTAGGGAACGTAGATCCCGGTGTTGTGGTCTGCCCTAGAAGGACCTTTAGGAACCTGACCGAGTCGAGCATATAAGCCTTCTAGAGAGGGAATCCTCGTAATATGGTAAATGATATAAAAATAGAACGTGTTCTAATCGGCCACCCGTACTATCTTGCCCGCTCAGAATTGCCCGCTTCGATCCCGCGCAAGAAAAAAAGTGTGTGGAGCAGACTTGTAAAGTTCTTAACTTTTGGACAATATCTGCAATGAAGTCGCAAAAAGCAGCAGAAGACAGTAAAAACAAAGAAAACTAAATTTACCAGACCTTTTTCCGTTGAGTGCTCTCTGATTGCAATAGAATATAAAAATTGCAGTTTATAATCTCTTCTTAATTGTTAGAAGAAGCCTTAGATTGTTTAATATTCTCCAGCAGAACTAGAGATTAAATTAATCATAACTAGGTCATTCGCTTCTTACCACTCTCAACAGCTCCCATTTAATTGTAGCTCAACTTGCGAAACCTCGCACTTCGTAATCTGAATGAACAGGTATTGCTTTCGGGTGGGCCATTCCCGTATAGACCGTAGAGTCAATATCCACCTCGCCCCTCTCCACTCAAAGTTAAATCCGTGAGGCCCCCAAAATAAACCCATCATCGTGAAGGATTTTTGCGATATCCTGCACATACGTTATCAAGGTGTTTCTCTCTGTACACCCTAACTGGAACGTGAATTGTAGTTTGAAAAAGATCTAAAAT